CGCGCGCCGGGCTGCCCCATCCGCGCCTGAGCCGGGAGAAGGAAACCCGTCTCGCTGCCCCATCCCGCAGGGGCTCCGACGCCCCGCAACCTCTCCACTGCCCTCAAACGTGGCCCGTGTGACGGACTCCGGCCTGGCTCTCGTCTCCAGAGTTGGGGGCTCGGCCTTTAGGCAGTACTAGAGGCAGCCCCATGTCGGTCCTCGCGCCTAGGAGAGGGGGCCCTAAGGGCTGTGGGCGGAGCAAGAGAGATCCAGGAAAAGCGAGTGGGGCGGAGCCTGGGGAGGCGTGACCCAGAAGAACAGGGTTCCAGGGGAAGTGGAGCCGGCGTGGGCGGGATCAGGAGGAGGCGGGGCCTCGGGGCGGGGCCAAAGAGAGGCGAGCCGCGCCGCCGAGGTCTCTGGGCCGGTGCAGGCAGGGGTGAAACTTTGAGATCGTGGTTTCAAGTCCAGGCCGCTCAAAAAGGCGGCGAACGGAAGCCAGGTGGGAGACTGAATAGCCTTGAGGCTGGACAGCCTTTCAAAGTCACCACCATGCTGCATCGCCCGCAAAGATGGGGAAACTGAGACCCAGAGATGGAAAGTCATTTTAATAAACAGTCCCCTCCTCCCACAGCTCCACTGAGGCAACATGGAACTGGGATCTGAACTGGGTGGTTCAGCTCTGTTCTGTGGGTGCTGGGGAGTCACGGGAGGGTTTTTAAGCAGGGAGGGGGGCGCTGGTGGTTATGTGGAGCCCCTGCTGGGCTGGTGGCCAGGAAGGACCACAGCGGGTAGAGCTGGAAGATCCCAGGGTCGCTGTTCAAAGCTCCCCCAGCCCACCCCAGAGGATGGTACTTCATGTTCCAGTTCAAGCTCTTCAAGTGTTTGAGCACACAACTTCACGACCTCACCCTGAAGGCTAGGTGCGCCCGTTGCTTTGTGCGGTGGCTCTGGTGGCACGGACGGATTTCCGAGGACCTTCTCCGCAACCCTTCATAACAAGCCAGCTTGTCACGGGATGTGGATAAGCCGACAGGTGGGGATTGGCCCTGTGTTTTTCAAGACCCAGACGTATGGATGACAGTACGCGCAGGTGAGCGTGGGATGGTAAGCACATTCCAGATCATCTCTGCACGGCCGGCCCGTAAAGGGGCTGTGCTGTTCCGCATCACGACAAAACCGGGTTTCCAGGGGCCAGCTTCGGGATGGGACCTCACTGTCAAAGCAGCGTTTCTCCAGTGGGAAATCCTGGAGAAGTGTTTTCCCCTTAAAAGGGGTCCACGCTTGACTCACTTTGAGCAACTCTGGCAAAACCAATACAAAGTCTGGGCAGTGTTCTTTCGAGCCGGGCTGCACTGATGTGAGAAATTATTCAACGTTTTCTGAACTCAACTGGAACCTGGAGGTGGCCACAGCTATCAAGGCATTGGGTCCCACTGTTGTTATTTTAAATCTGACCAAGGTTTCTTTCTGCCCTCGTTCAGTCCTTATATTCCCAAGCAGACCCCCGGAACGCACAGAGGCAAAGAGAAAGAAGGTTGACGCTTATTACCCGATTTTATTAGAGAGAACTCTTCAACGTAAAAAGGAGGAGGGGCGGCGGGGAGGGGGAGGGGGCCCGGGGCTGCATATGTTACTGGGGCCAGCGGGGTGCACGGTTACAGAGGTGCCCACAGCTCTGGGTTTGAGACGGCATTCTGTGCCCAATGAGGCCGCGCTCCAGATTGTCACACACCAGACTACGGAGGCTGAGCACATGGAACCCCCAGAGAGAATTAAGACACACAAGGTTTGCAGTTTCATTGTTTGGAAATCAGTTCGACCATAAAAACGACATGGGGGGGGGGCGGGGGGACAGGCAATGCAACTGAGCCACCAGAGAAAAGGCGGTGGAGGGCGCTGGCCCAGGGTGCGGACTGAGGGCTGCAGCGACAGTACCATGGCAAGGGGTCCCACTGGAAGGGGACTATTGCACTGAGCCGAGTGGTGGAGGGAGGGGCGGGGGCAGGTGGACAATGGAGGCTGGTGGGGGCTCCCGGGAAGCTGCAGCTCATCAGTCTAGGAACATCTTTCGTTTTCATAGCTCAGCAATCCCAGGCTCTCCGAGATGCCATCTGAGACGCACCAGGAGGGAGACAGGGTGTTGCCACGAAGGAATTTAGATTTCTATGCTGGGGGTGGGCAACAGCTGAGTGGGTCCAGAGCCTTCCTGGGGGGGGGGGGGGGGGGGGGGGGAAGCCTGGGAAAGGCCATGGATTTGCTACACATTATAAATAAAGTCTTGCCTTCTGACCCCTGACCCCCACAAATAATAAACCAACAACTCCCATCGGCACAGTCTGCAGACCATGTTGGCATCCATGTGACAGTTCTCTGAAAAGGGACCAAGAATGCCACCAACACAAAACGGGTCCCCCAAGGGGTCTCAGCAACTAGCACAAAAATAGAAATGTCATGATATCCGGGAGGCTCGCAGACTTCTCTGGCAAGTCAGCATCCCAGCGATGCCTCTGTTCCGTGATTCACTCCAGAGAGCCCGAGGGAGCCAGCAGAGCTCCCCTCCTTGCTCCTCAAGCTCCGAGTGGCTGCAGGTGCGCCGGGCACGGGCGCACTATGCCAGGAATGTGTGCACGGCTCCGGTCATCTCCGACAGAACTCGCAAGGTGCCTGACTATCTGGCCTTGGGGGCCTGAGCGGGGACTCCAGTGCCAGCTTTTGGGTGACACAGTTGTCCCTGTCAGTCATCAAGGCCTGAGACGCATCTCTGGACCTCTGCCTGCTCAGTGGCCCGCTCCTCGGGGGGAAGGGGGTGGGACGGACTGGCGACTCAGGGCATGCAGACAGACAGCCGTCTGAAATCAGGTGAGGACGCTTCCCGCCATCTGGTCGAAGCGCCCTTCGACAAGATGGAGAAGACGTCATTTTGCTTCTGATTTGGGACATCCACAGCCTTGTTCTCATGGCTCCTCTCAGGGCTGCCTTCCCCAGGCTCCACGCTGGCGCGTCCCTGGCCAGCCTGGACAGAGAGCAGCCAGCCCTACAGGCTCCGTCCAGGCGCACAAAATGAGCTGTGCGGGGGGCCGGGGGGAGATGAGAGCAGGCGAGGGACCCAGAAGAGGGACTCGAAAAATCAAACTCCTGATCCGTGGGTTCTCCACCAGGACGGCAAGGGCTGGAAGAAATTCTCCCGGCTGTAGCTTCCGCTCTGAGCCAGCTCCCCGCTCCTCCCACGCGAGCAGGCCGGTGGGAGTGGGGAGGGGGCAGAGGGAACCCTCCGTGCTGTGCCACCTCTCAAGGGGTGGGAGGGCATTTCTGTGGGGGCAGGACAGACCCCCCCCCCCGGCTGTCAGTTCCCATAGTCCCGTCTGGACTGAGTAGGGTCTCTGAGCCCAGGTGAGGCTGCTTCCTGTTGAAGATGACGAACCAAAAACATTTGTTTCACAAAGAATTTTGTCACCTATCCTGTAACTTGCTTACTAGTCACCATCTTAAACCAACCAACAAAACAAAACAGAGAAAGCCCATCCCAGTCCTGGAGGAGAATCTCTTACTGGACATCTGAGCAGCCTGACTACGGGAGCGCCCCTGCTCTCCGGAAGCACCCCCGGCCTGAGGACCCAGCGCTCCTCCCTTTGCCTGGGTCCTCTATTTGAGACACCAAGCGGGGGCGTGGGGAGGGCAGAGAGGCCCACAGTCCTGAGCTCCATCGAGAGGCGTGGCCTCCTGGCCTTTCCTGCCTCTCAAGTCCCCTGGCAGGTGAGGTGGTGGGAAGCAGATGCAGAGAGATCACGGGCACCGGCAGGGTGGAGGGCCACCCCCAGAACACTAGCTGGCCACATCCAAGGACATGCGTCCAGTGCCTGGCCAAGAACACCTGAGCCCAGAGTGCCTGCGGGCGCGGGGGCCCTTGCCTCCTGGGCGGCAGCCCGTCCAAGAGGAGAGAGGCAACTTGGAGTGTGGATTTCAGCCGGGGTTAGCAAGCCATGGGGCAAGGTCCCCGGAGCCAGCAGGCCCTGTCCCCTCAGGGAGACACACACGCAAACACAGCAAGAAGCCCGACATGCGGCGGAGCGGACTCACTTCGTTCTGCCGGACATGTCCTTTTCGTTTTGTTTTTTTTTAAATCTTTTTGTAAAAAAGCACACCTGTGCTGCCGTCTTTGTGCAAAGAGTAAGGACCCAAAATAAATACGTGATCGGACACTCAGGGAGGTTCACAGTCTCACAGGCATAGGTAGTCGACGGGAGCGGCGGCCGGCGGTGAAGCCAGGTCCTGTAGGCGGGCAGCGCCTCCGGAAAGCAGCCAGGGCGGCGGCGGCGGCGGCGGCGGCGGGCGCTCGGCTCCGGGTCGGTGACTGCATAGACATTACTGCAGAAGGCAAAGGGGGGGGGGGGGGGGGCGCGGGTGAGCGCGCGGCGGGGCCGGGCGGCACCCCCACTTGCGCGGCCTCCCGGGAGGGCCCCGGCCCCGCCGCCGCCCCGACCCCGCCCGCGCGCCCCCGGCCTCCGTCTCCCCGGCGGTCCCGGGGCAGGTGCGGCCGAGCGGGCGGCCCGAGGCCCCGGGCCAGGGAGCGGCGAGCCGCGGGCGCACTTACGGTGTCGCTCTCGCCGTCGGAGGCTGGGTGGGCGTGCGCGCTATAGTGAAGCGGGGAGTACACCCAGCTCCTCTCATCGGTGGGCTGGGCGGGCGGGCGGGCGCACGTGCAGGAAGCGCGCAGAAGAGCAGGGGTGCGAGAAGGCGCGAGACAGGCGAGAGGGAGGAAGGAAGAAACAGAAATAAAGGAGGCGGACCCCCACGCGGTCGGCGAGGAGGCGGCTCGGCCCCCGCGCGGCCCTACCCGGAGGGGCCCGCCCCCAACCCGGACCGCTCTGGGGCCGGCGGGGCGGAGCGGCGGCAGCGCGCGGGGTGGGCGGCAGGAAGCGGTGCGCGGAGCGCAGGCGGGGCCCGGCGCGGCGGGGCGGGCGGGGGCGGGGCTCGCTTGCTGTCCCCTCCCCTCTTGCTCGGCCCTCGGCACCGCAGCCTCAGATCCTGCCTGCTGCGCGGCCCCGGTAGGCACCGGGGCCACGGACTGGAGCAGGGCACGCAGGACCCTCCCCTGGGGGGCCTGGGTGATGAGCGCAGTCGGGGGCGCAGGGTGGGGCCCATCTCCTCGTGCCCAAACGCACAGATCGGCCGGGGGACACTGAGGCCCCGGCCACACAGCAAGTAAGTAACAGAGGCCCAGCCAGAGGGTGGGCTGCTTTTCCTCCAGCCGCATCAGGGAAATGGGCCCCATTCTGGGTCAGCCTGGGGGGCGGGGAGCGCACGTTCCTCCAGCACCTGTCCTTCCTGGGGTTCTCACGGCAAGAACCCCCACAGCCCCCTTCTCATTCTTCCTCTTTCCCAGGGACCCCCATCACCCCCAGTCTTCACCGCCTGTGCACCTACCCCCCTTGCCCGGCCTCTGTTTGGAGTACGTGGCCTGAGCAGGCACTCACCCTGGCTAGAGCCAGGGAGGCCACACCCAATGAGCCCCCAGATCTGCCCCTCCTCCGTGGGATGGTGACGCCCAGCCTCGCCTTTCCAGCCTCGCCTCTCCACGGGTGGCTTCATCCGAGCCTCATGAAGGACAAGCACCAGTAGGCCGCCTCCGTGCTCTCCTGGTGAACGCAGGACCCCTGCCCTGGCCGCCCCTTGGGGCCCCCACCGGCTCTCCTCACCTCTGTGCCCGCTCCTCCCTGCCCCTCTTACAGCTCTCACTGCAGAACCCGCCCTCCCGGGCCAGACTGCGGGCACCCGCACAAGGCACCTGACCCACTGGGCGTCGTGGGCAGCTCACTCTTGCCTCAGCACCTGGCCCAGGGCCACACACATCCCGAAGGCCGTTCATCCACGGACCGACTGGTACCAGGGCACAGGGGCCCTGCTCACAGCACAGGGGTCACAGCACACAAAAACCGGAGCCTGCCTGGAAGTCCAGGGATGGGGCCTGCCTGGGGCTGCCCACACCCAGTGTCCTGCACGGGGCTGCCACAGCACGTGTGTAGAGCCTGGTAGCTGCCTCTCTGGGGCCAGAAGTAGGACAAGAGAGTCTCCACCTGAACTCTGCAAAGAGCCGGCCCGACAGACGGAGGGATCGCGGGCAGCAGGACCCAGAATCCTGCGCGGACCCACAGAACTGGAGCCACAGACGCATGTCCCCAGCGCTGCAGCCCTCAGGCCCCTTGCAGCCAGCCTGCACCCTTGCTGCCCCCCTGCTCCTGTGGGCCCCCCACCGGCTTCTGCTGTGCCCTCGACAGAGTCCGCCCTTCCTTCTCCCACCTCCCCACACCTGGGGGGGGCACAACCCCTCTCTGGGCCGCCTTTATAAGCCGCTCCCCCCATGAGGGGCCCTCAGGACCTGCTATGTATCCCCAGCTCTTGGATCATCTTAGGGGAGTGGCATCCCTGTCTCAGTGGGACACAGCACGGTGGGAACATCTGGGGAAGTGGCTTCCACTTCTTGGGTTTGCTTGGCAGAGCTGGACGCCCAGTGACACTCAGAGGCATCTGGGGCTGGGCGTGTGAGCCTCCGAGGGCCCTCATCTTGAGAAGAGAAACTCCTGCTCCAGGCCTGTTCTGTTCAACCGGTTCTGCCTGCTTGAGCGCTGTGTGGCTCTGGGCAGGTTACCTGGCCTCTCTGGGCCCCTCATTTATTGCTCATGAGGACAATAACGGGTTCTGATAACACCATTGCTACATGATCTCCACACAGCGTCCCAAACAAAACGGGCAGATGGGTGTCTGCGAGACACAGGGGATGCTTGGGAATTCGGACCCAGGTTTTCTCTAAACCGTGCCCTCTTGTGGGCTTCCTGGGGAGCTGAGACCGTGGTTTCCCCACTGTGAAGTGGGTATGGAAATATACCTCCTCTCTCCTGCAGTTAAGAGCTTGGCTTTGCTGACCCAAGGGCAGAAGCCCCTTGGGGAGCCATTGGCAGCCAGGTCTGAACACAGGACAAGTGTCCACCAACTTGTCCCTGACTCAGGCTGGGGCTGCGGTCAGATGCAGACCCCACCATCACGGCCAAGTCCCCTTAGCCCCGGCTGTAAGCCTGCAGGCCTAGCAATGCCCACCTCAGGGGTACCTAAGTGACATCACTGGGGGACACATGACCAGCCTCGTCGTGATGATTCTTTCCCCAAGTCCCTTCTCAGAGGATGAGGGACAGCCAGAACCTGCAGCTCCCTGCTGCCCCGGGTGGTGGAATGGGGGCTGGGCTCCCTGGACGCCTGCTGTGGTCACTTACAGTCCCTGAGGAGCTCAGCGTCACGGCCCGCAGTCGGCGATGCCGGGGAGAGTAAATCCAGTACCTCCCATCGGTGAACTGGGCGGGCCGGGCGGGCGGGGGAGGAAGCAAACAGAGGACAGGATGAGGCAAGAGGAATCCAGCGGGTGGTTAGGTGGGGAGGGTGCTGGGCAGGGGCAGGTAAGCAGATGGCCAAGCGGGAGGTGAGTTTTGGGGTGGCGGGATCCCACTGCGGCCCGTTAGCTTCTCTGCTGCCCGCAGGGCCTGGCCGCCTACTCCAGTGTCAGGACCCAGACGCACACGTAGGACATGGCCCCCTGGGGCCTCCTCACACAGTGATCCACAGGATGGGACACAAACCAAGCCCCCAGGGACGGGGAGCTGACGGCGGGTGTGGGGACACATAGTGTGTGCACCTGTGACTTCCAGGCCAGACAGAGGCCCCAAGACAGAGAGCGGATGCTGGTACCTGTGAGGCAGCAGTGGCCTTATAGCTTTATTGGGCCCCCAGCAACCCGGCCACGGGGGCAGAGACAAGACTGAAGGCCTGGGAGGAAGACAGGCAGTCCCCTTCATCGGATAAGGCCATGTGACCCCTGAGCAGGGCCATCCAAGGAAGGCAGCCCATCACCGGATGGGATGTGTAGGCTCCCTGGCCCCCCGCACCCATCACACCCAAGCTCCCAGCCCAGCTACCCCGGCTGCCTGCGGGAGATGAGGGGTGGGAGGTGACCCCCTGCCCTGGAAGAGAGGTCCCGGGTCCCTGGGGGCAGGGCCCCTTCCAGCTCCGACAGACCCCCCACCCATTCCCAGAGCAGCCATGAGTCCTTGCCCAGTGAGGACGGCAGCACAAAGCACACAGACCCCTTGCCTCCTAGAGAACAGACCCCACCCAGCTGCCCCTGTCCCCGAGTGGAAGAAGAGCCACACAGTCTGCGGCCTTGGTGGCTGACCCCAGGTCTGCCCAGGACCGAGGGGGTCCCGGGGGGGCTCAGAGCTTGAGGACTCCAGATGCTTCCTAAGGGGACGTGGTGGCACGGCTAGAGCCAGGACCTTGACCGGTGGCCTGGCGGTGGTCATGAGTCCTGGAGAGGAGGGGCGGGGCAGTATCCTGGCCTCAGAGTGGCCTGGCCGGATGGCAAGGGGCAGGGCGCTCCCACACCATGTACGCGTGTGTGAATGCGTGCAGGGGCACACTGGTGTGCAAGAGTGTGTGGATGTGAGTTGACCAGTGAGAGCACTGTGTCCACAAGAGTACCTTGTGAGTATGCATGTGTGTGTGTGTGTGTGTGTGCACGAGTGGGTGTCTGGCTGAGGGCCGAGCAATGGAAGGAGCCGTGGGGGACTTACAAAGTAGATGTCTGTGGCGGGTGCGTCCTCCTCGTCCGAGGCCTGGCTGGCGGGCTCCGAGGCCTGGCTGGTGGTTTCTGCTTCGGCAGCAGCAGCGGCTGGAGAAGCCTCCACCCTGGGGACACGCGCGGACACAGGAGTCCTGGGGTGGGGCTCTGAACAGCATCCGGGGCTCCAGCCCATCTCCTCCCCTCTCATCAGGAGGTCATCACAAAGAAGCCAAATAAAACAAACCTCCCCCCCACCAAATACCTCCCCGGCAAAGGGGAGGGAGTTTCTGCCCACGGGCTCCTGTGTGAGCCTCTCCACACCACTGCTTGAGGGCACGTCCCGGGGGCTGGGTGCTGGCCTCACCACCCACCCCCTGGGCGACCTGGAAGGTCCTTGCCCATTGCTCAGCCTCAGTATCCTCATCTGCGAAGCAGGGACCCCTGGCCCCTGTGCTCAGAACCTCTGTAACCTGGGACGCCTGGGTGGCTCAGTTGGTTAAGCAGCTGCCTTCGGCTCAGGTCATGATCCCAGCGTCCTGGGATGGAGTCCCGCATCGGGCTCCTTGCTCGGCGGAGAGCCTGCTTCTCCCTCTGCCTCTGCCTGCCATTCTGTCTGCCTGTGCTCGCTCGCTCTCCCTCTCTGACAAATAAATAAAATCTTAAAAAAAAAAAAAAAAAAAAAAAAAAAGAACCTCTGTAACCTTCACTGAGCACTTACTACGTGCCAGGCCCTTTCAAGAGCTTGGCATGAATTTCCCCCACGACCGTCCCCTGGGCCGGGGGCTGCCGCTGTCCTGAGCTACAGACAGGGAAACAGGTTCCAGATGGAAGGTGAGGCGAGGCCGAGGCCTCAGCAGGTGGCTGGGTGACTGGGTGCAGTTTCCATCTCACGAGCAAAATGCCCAGCTCCGGGGTGGGGGGGGAGGGGCACCTAGAACCACAGAGAGCTGGCTCTCCAGCCGCGGGGAAGGGGGCTGGTTTGGGGGTCCCCCCAAATGAGTCACACCGCAAGGATTCCACTAATAGGGAAAACACGGCGGGTGGCAGAGCCCACTGTGTGCGCAGGGACACCCGCCTATCTGTGACATCACCCTTGCTGGCAAGGTGCGGGCTGGGTGCATGGTGACTGCTAAGGAAGGTGTCTTGAGATCGAAGAGAAATTTTAAAGACCCGTAAAGCAGAAATCCCAAGGGAAGCAAAAGAAACTTGGTAACAATGCAAACACAGAGCCACCCAGCCAAACGGGACCCACAGACAAGGGTGTGACGCAGCAGGGCATCACCCGTCAGTACATCAGACCCAGCCAGCTCCCCTCCAGCCCCCCGCAGGGAACACATGGTTCCCCCACACGCCCGATGACCTTAAAACATGAATTCTGGGGTGGGGGGGCTCAGTTAAGTGTCTGCTTTGGCTCAGGTCCACCCAGCCCCACATGGGGCTCCCTGCTCAGCGGGGAGTCTGCCTCTCCCTCTCCCTCATGCTGCTCCCCTTGCTTGTTCTCTCTCTCTCTCTCTCTCTCAAATAAATAAAATCTTTAAAAAATGATTTTATTTATTTGAGAGAAAAAAAATGAATTTATGTTTGACTGCGAAGGCTTTGATCTGGTTTTCATATATACATCCATTTTGAGCAGCCGCTTTCTTCAACTTAAAATTGAACACAGACAATCCTAAGCAGGGAGCCGGGCTCTGAACCGCTGGAAGCTCAGACGTGCGTAGACAAACTCTAGAGCAGGGTCTCTGCCCGCGCCCCGGGCCGTGGCCTCCATGGCTCAATGTGGGAGCCTGGGCGCTGGGGGGGGGGCCGCGCCCCTGGCCCCTCCCCAGGAGCCCCCAGTGCAACGAGCGCAGGTGGCCCCAGCCACCCACAGGATAAAAGCGCCGCCTCCCACGGACCCCACGGATCGCGGCAGGACGAGCTCCCGGGACCCCCGGGCCCAGGGCTGCTCCTCACTGGACAAGAAAGGAGTGCGAACCGCGGCGGCCGAGCGCGGGGACCAACCAGAAGCAGGAAGGCAGGCATTGAGGAAGAGCGGCAGCGAACGAGCGACACAGAACAAGACACAGTCGGCAAAGCGGGCTGCGTCCAGAGGTGGCCCCGAGGACGCAGAGACCGCCTCCCGCAAGCCTGGGGTCAGGACCAAGTGGGCGGTGCGTGAGAGCCCCGGGACGCACGCGTGGCTCACAGCTCTGCCGGAGATCCGAGGCCCCGGATGAGGCAGCCGTCCAAACCCACCCCCCCCCCCGCCCCGCCGGGGCCCCTGAGGAGACTGCCGGGTTCCCACGCCCTGCATCCCCCACTTTCCAGGGTGAGGCCCCCTCCCCAGTCTCTCCCCACACCCCCGCCCAGAACGTGGACTACATTCCCCAGCCTGCCTAGCTGCCGAGTGGCCACGTGACCGCACTCAGCCAATGGGACCAGAGCAGACGCCTGTGCGTACGAGTGCGGCAATGGGGCACTCACCCCGTGTCCTCCTCCTTGGGGACCACGATCTCAACGCTGCACGCGGGCTCCACCTGCACCGTGATCTGCTGCAGATCCTCCTCCACGTGGGTCTCCTCCTGGGGCCTGGAGGCAGTGGGACGCCACACGTCACTCTCCTAACTCTGTCCCCCAGGGCCGCCAGCCAAGCTCCAGGCCACTGCTGGTCTCCAGCCCTAGTGGGAGCCTCCATGGGGTGCTCTCTGGGTGCATCTGACCCGTGCTCTGAGCTGGCCCAGTTCACCCCTGGTCCCTCGGGCTGTCCTGCCCACCTGGGGCCTGCACAGGGGCAGGGACTGCTTGTCCACCTGGGGCCATCCTATGACTCTGGTACCAGCAGGTGCCGGGGAGTGACTGCTGGCCTGGATCCCGCCCACTCTCCTGGGGGTAGCTGGGCATGGGCCTGGGGCCTGGCCTGGGGGTGGGCTGGTTCCAGGGCTTTCAAATGTCCGGGCCCCTGGGGTAGGTGGGTCAGAACATTGCGGCAGTTAGGCGGACTGTCTCCCAGTGACAGCCCCCAGCAGCTGAAAGGTCGCTGGGGCGGGAGCAGGCAGCAAGATGGAAGGAAGTGCATTCTGCCAAATGTACTTTATGCATAACTTTTTTTTTTCCCCAAATGGCAGGAATAATGGCCCCAACACTAAGTGAAGCAACGCCTGTTGGTCATGTTGGCAACAATGGAAATGCGCCCAAGGGCAGTCAGTCACCCGCTCACGGATGACCTCCATCTGCTCTGTGCCCAAAGCAAGGGGCACTGAGCTAGGCTGGTGGCAAGACGAAAGGCAGAAAGAGGCTCGTAGGTTGGTTTTCTCATATATTCATATAGTATTTCTAGAAAAAGACAAAAAACCCGTCCAGGGGTTGCTCCTAGGGACGGGAATGGGCATGGGGCAAGGGAAGGTGTTTCGCTATATTCTCTGTGTACCGCTTAGAATAAAAATATTTAATAAAAAAGGATCAGGGGCGCCTGGGTGGCTCAGTGGGTTAAAGCCTCTGCCTTCAGCTCAGGTCATGATCTCAGGGTCCTGGGATCGAGCCCCGCATCGGGCTCTCTGCTCAGCGGGGAGCCTGCTTCCCCCTCTCTCTGCCTACTTGTAATCTCTCTGTCAAATAAATTAAAAAAATCTTTAAAAAATTTAAAGAAAAAGAATTTAGTTAAAAAAATTAAAAATTAAAAAAATTAAAAAGGATCAACAAGCAGGTGGACGGGTCTTCTGCCTGCCCCACACCCCACCCACCGGGGGTGTGGACTTTGGAGAAGACTCCAGTGACTCAGGATTCTGTGCAGTTCAAGAGCCTAACTTAAATCTGTGCCCAGGAAAGTGGTCAGAGAGGCAGGGCTCTGGGTGGGCAAGCCCAGGGGCTGCGGGGGGCGGTGGGGCGGGGAAGCTCACCGGCCATCCTGTCCCGAAGACTGCGTGCGCCGCCTGCAGAGAGAGAGACCAGAGCAGGTGCATCAGGGGGCTTGGCCTCCAGCCCGGTCCCTCCCCGCCGCCACAGGGAGGGGGACCCTCCACACCCTCACCGGTACCGCGGCTGCTCCGATGTCTCCGAGGGAGACCGCTCCGGGATGGAGAGCGACGTGGAGGACAGGGTTGTAGCGATGGAGGCGGTGGTGGCCTCCTCGAAAGATGGCGGTGTGCAGGGCAGGAGGTCGGGCCGGCCTGCGGGGCAGGCGCGGGGGCTGTGGGTGCCTGCAGCAGCCCTGCCTCTCTCTGCCTCCACCTGCAGCCTGGCTCGCCCCACCTGCGACCCAATACTCTGTTCTGCTCTACTGCTTTAAGAGGGCACATACCTTCGAAGTTACCCTTGGCACAGAGGCTTCCCATAACCTGCTGCTCTCAAACCGCAGTCCAAACCCTGCCCAAGCCCACAGGTCCTGTGGGAACAGCCGCTTCCTCTTTCCTCACCCTTCCTGACTTTGCTCCAACCACAGGCCTCCTGCTGTCCCTCCAACACACCAGGTCTCTTGCTGCCCCAGGGCCTTTGCATGTGCAGTCTCTCCCTTCCTTGATACTATTCCCCCCACCCCCTCCCTGCCAGGAATCTTTGACTCTTTAACTCTGGGAACTGGGAGGAACCTTTCAAACCATCACACCCAACCCCATCAAATGCTTCCTCCCTCTAGGTCTCAGAACATCTGGCAATGGGGGGGGGTCACCTCCTCGGGTAGCATCTTCTGTTCAGCTCTCCCTGTGGCTCCTAGCCACTCCCCATCCCCAATCCCTGGATGCCCAGACCTTAGGCTGGGACTGGGGTAGGGAGGTGACTGGGACCCAGGACCCTGCCATCCAGGCCGACAGCTTCTAGAACCCTTTCCTCAAACCGGGTTGCTTCCTGCATGCCCTCCCCTCTCAGCCCTGCAGGGACAGTACCTTTCCCCAGCAGACCCCTTCTCTCTCCTGTCCCCAGAGCACCCTCTCCCCAGCCAGCCCAGTCACCTTCGTCCTCTAGCGTGGGGTAGCTGCGGGCCCCACGGAGGTCGTACTGTGCGTCCTCGCGCTCGCTGGGGATCTGGCTGGCCGAGAAGGCAGCGGTGGGCCCCAGGGGCTTGACGGCCAGCAAGGCACCACGGCCCTTCTTGGATGGTGAGGACTTCAGGGCTGTGGAGAGAGGTGAACTGGCACTTGGGGCAGCCTGGGAGCCCCGTGGCCAGGCTCCACCGGCCCCCATCCCTCCCTTGCATGAAAGCCTGCTGCCCGCGTACACAGCTCCCACTGCCCGGCCTCCAGCCTGGCCCTCAAGCCTGGGCAAAAAGCAACATCCTTTGCAGAGGAAACCTTGTCCTGCTTCCTACCCAGCTCTGCCTCGGGAGGTCCCAGAAGCCCCCTCTGGCAGCCCACCCGGGCTGTGGCCTCCACTTTCAGACACGTAAACGGAGGCCTGGGGCCATGCGGGGCTCAGCACCAAGGCCCTGGCTCCAGTCCAGGATGAATGGCCTGGGCAATGGGGCTCAGCAACCTCATCTGCAGCGACAGGGTCAGACAAGGGGGGTCACCCCCTGACGCCCCCTGCCCCTGGCCTCGCCCATCAGCGAGCATCACCAGGTTCTCTCCCTGCTCTTCCTGTGAGCTCGGCCCCCAGGGTTGGCCAGCACAATGCCAAGCACACAGTAGGTGCTCAGTTCGCCTGGTGAGCAGCCCTCCCGTCCCTGGAGGCTGGCGCCCCCCCGACTGCAGGGAGAATGACACCCAGGAAAGGTTCTAAGAAGTGAGAAAGTGAGACGCTGATGAAAGTGGAACGGCCCACTCTTGGGAGACAAAGGCCAGAACAGTGGGGTTCGCCCATTTCCACGACGCCAGTGACCCCACTGCCATCGGTTTCAAGCTACCGGCTCGACATAAGGGAACATGGAGTCGTGCTGGCTCCACGAGCTGGCTCCTGGTGACTGGGCGGTGCCACTGCCCACACAGGCCTGGCCCAGGCTGGGAGAGCAGGTCCCACGCCAGGCATCGGCCCTGCCCACCCCTGCTGTCTCTGTGGACCCACCAGGATGGTAAGGAGCACACTGAGACACTCCCACGAATGACTCTGCCTGAACACCCATGGCGTGCTGGGCCCCGGGCTGGACACTGGGGACACAGAGGGACTGAGGCTGACAAGCACGCTGTCTTCTGGGCGCACAGGGAGCAGGAGGCAGATGGCAGACAGACACGTGGGGAGAAAAGACCCTTTCAGGCAGCATATGGGATCCCGGCCTGGGGTGTGCACCACGCCTGGCACTTGAGGCACAGCACAGAGAGGGGACCCTCTGAGGACACCCACGGGACATGGGCTGCCTCTGTCTGGTGCCCTCCTTGACAATGCCTGGTCCGGCTGGTGGCCAGCTGCCTGTGTCCCCCGAGGCCACGTTTCCCTGCTGAGGACGCAAGGCCACAGGTGGTCCCCGTGAGGACCGGCACAGGCCAAACGCACCTGTCATGTGGGTAAACACATCTTGCCCTCTGTACGGATGGGGAAAGTGAGGCATGGAGCAGGGCGTCCCCTGCTTGAAGTCACAGAGGCAGGACGTGGTGGGGCCAGAACTCAAGCTCAAACAGCGGGCCCCAGGCCCCGTGCTGGGCCCCAGGACGGTGGCATCCTGACTCCCCTGTTCTCTGGACCAAGTGCCCGACCGAGGCCCACGGATGGCCACATGGCCAGAGGAGGGGCTCTGGGTTTACCGTGCTCTTGGCGACCCCACCTCCCCGCTCCGCACCCCCGGGGGCCCTCTTGGCCAGAGGGCCTGGGAAGCTCACAGGAATTCTTCCGGAAGACCGTGTTGCTCATGAACTTGAAGAAGCGCTCGGCATAGAAGCTGGGCCGGTGGACAGAGACGGTGTCCTGGGGAGAGAAGCGGGGCCCGCAGGCAGGAAGGGCTGAGTGTCCCCATGCCACCAGTGCTCCCCGTGTCCTGTGAGACAGCCCAGCCACACAGCGGCAGTCGGGCCGAGAGACGGGTCCATGGCACGGGGCTGGCGGGTAACCTGGCAGGGAGGGGCCTGGGAGGGACATTTCTTCATTATAAACCCATCTGTGCTTTTAATCCTTTGAATCACATGAATAAAACAGCAACCGCAAAGAAGTAATCGAATAAAGAGCAAAACATGGAAATCAGAGGAGTCCTCCAGATGTCCCCAGACACGGCCTGGGTCCTCTACCTGCTGTAATGTGACAGATCCCATAGGGACACAAGGCCTCCAGAACACACACTACATTTCCCATCCTCACTGCAGTGAGGCAGGACTGCAGGACCGGGTGCTGGCCGAGGGTGTGGGAGCCAAGACCGGGACGGAGTTCCCGCCCTCTCCTCTGCCTGGAGTGCTGTCGGGGGCCAGCCACCTGGGCTGGGGGCTGAGGACCATGCCCAGAAGGCCACCCTGCCTGCCCCAGAGGGCTCACGCCTGTGATGTTACTCTGATTAACGTCTGGACCCCCAGGAGCTGAGCCAAAGTTTACTCTGGGGATTACATGTGGCCTCATGGGGACTTGGCAACTCTCCTTTCTGCCGAGGCTTTCTAATGCCATGAAAGGGTTTCCTGCTGACTGGCTGCCCACCTGGACCATCTCGGTGCACTTTCTGGAAGCTTCCATCTGGACCCCCACCC